TATAATGCAAATCTGCACTCTATCAGAGAGCGAGTTAATTGCTAGGCTTGCCACCATTGGAACCTGAAACGCGCTTGATATGAGCAAGAATTTCGTCTGCAAAACAGACAGGCAAAGATTATAGGTCAAGTAGCGTACCGAATAGGTAATCCTACAAATTATGTCTGTGGGCTGAAGGACATTTATGAATGTCAGAGATAGCAACAAAAAAACAGCTAATAGAAGAGCAATGCTTAACTCCCTTTTGGATGCCTTGACGATGGGGCTGTTCCAGAATTTAACAATCATTACGAAAGAAAAAAATGTGAGAATCACACCAAAAGAAGCAAACCCAAGAATCAACATTCCGCCAACACTCTCGTAGCTCAAGTTTGCCGAGGGCAAGGCTACACAATGTGTCTTAGCCTGGTTAGCTGTTTTACCCTTAGGGCACTCAGAACAACTCGCAGAACCACCATAGGGGTTGACTGTACCACCAGAACACTGGGTGCAGTGCCAACAACAAGGTGAAGTGGAAGATTTCCTCGTTCCTGGAGGGCATTGTTCTGAGCATTCAGATTTTGGTGGTCTACCAGTCGGGGTCTTCCAGCTAATTTCTTGATGAAAATTTAGCTGTGTCTCATCTCGTGCATGATTTTGCCATTTGCCTACAAGGTTGGTTTTAAGACCACTGGTCTCGGATGATACTCGTTTGATACTGAAAATGTCATATGAAGCCGAGTCTATATCACCAAATTTATCAAATTTAATTTTGCCTGTTAACCCGGTAAAATTTACCCTTCCAAGGACCCTTTGCATTTCATGAATATTGAAATCAAACTGCTGCAGATCACTGGCTTCGATGCCGTTCGACTCTCTGGTCAATATGTCGAGAGCATGGGCTGCTGAGTACACAGCGTCGATGATGTATGGAACGTAACTGCTGTAGATTTGATCAACAACATTGCTGTAGTGCAGCTCAGATTTGGAGTTATCGTGGACTTGTCGTAATCCTGGACAGTTCCGTTTAATATCCTCAACACCGCTCCACTCCGAAGTCATATTATTGGTCATCGCGTCGGTCAAAACGGTTTTTAGGCGTTCTTTAAATTCGTACTCATAGTGATCATGATGTCGCAATCCTATTGATCCTTCTAAGAAAGAGAATCTTGCATCTATAAAGTCGTCTTCTTTCGAAATCGAATATATATCACTTAAAATCCAAATGCGATTTGTGACGTTTTGTTTACTGACCTCCTCCATAAACCTCCGCAAGTATTTTCCGTATACCCATAAGATAACTACTTGGATATTTTCTCGGCTTTTCAACTCTTCAATAATATACTTAATGCTGGGAAATTGTGTTTCGTGGCGAATAAACTCAGTCATAGCGATGCAAAATGGGTGTCTCCTAACCGTTGCTTCATTAACTAATGACCATACTCCGCTTCTTCCANTTCTTCCATACGAGTCATCGAGCCCAATAGCACCCACATAACTCCAGTTAAAGTGTATAATGATGTCGACGACGGCTTTTGCAAGAAATGTGTCTGAGGGCACAGTACGATACAAATGAGCATAACTTTCGGAGCTCAGTTCTCCACTAGTTGTTGTACCGCTTATTCCAGAGACATTAAACATGCGGAGAACTCCGCCAATATACAATGCTGTCCGGGAATCGAAGGGACCGATTAAGGCCGCAATAGTATTCCTTTTGGTATCATTACCGGCTGCTGGGCTAACACACAGTATATCCTCAAACAGTTCGTAACTTATTTTCCCAGCTTTAGTAATGTTTCCATCATAGTTTCTGATGTCATATCCAAGGGAGATATTTGGAAGTAGGTTTGAATCATTATTTATCTTTTCGACAGCGAAAATTATGGCATGTGTGAGGCCAAAATCTTTGAAATCAGTCCCGGCGCATTGGGCAACGGTGCCTTCTTGAAAGTCACCAACAGAGGTAGACATGAGTCCCCCCAACATGAAATCTCCATCTTTATAATGAGCGTGGACAACAGCGTTAACACAGACATATATAAATAAGAGGCAACGAGGGAAACTCATTTTACTGCCTCACTGGCTTGAAATTACCTTGCTAGCAAGCGGAAATGTTCACAATCCAGCTGCCGTTAGTTTTTTATAAGCATTTGTCTCTAATGGTTATTGGGAACAAGCTAAATTTTGAATAATTTTTCTAAGCAGATTTGCATTTCAGAAGATGATCTAAATTGCATGCACCTTCCTGACGGGTTTGTTCTCGCGAAAAAGAGAATTTTCTAAACAACATTTAGATCACTATGCTTTTATGTCTGCCGTTTTGACTTTTATTCGATCTTCACTCACTCACCGTTTTGTGTGCAATTCCTTGTAGAGCTACTGAGCATAATTTTCATCAATAGAGTTTGGAGCAGATTTTTGGTCGAAGTGTATGTGAACATTGAAGTGTATGTGATCTTTTATCTCTAATAACTATGTCAAATCAATGACAGCTCTAAGGGGATTTTGACAGGTATTTTCGCAAAAATTTGCATTTTTTTAAAAATGGAATAAAAATAAACGAGTTTTGGAAAGTATTTGCAGCGTTAACAAAAAAAATGATAATAATAATGATAATAATAATAATAATAATAATAATAATAATAATAATAATAATAACAATAATAATAATAACTCTCGGGCACTCTGAATATTGCCCGGACTTTCAAGGTGGCAGTTTGACTTCCTGTTAGAAGGAGGACTGTAGACACAACGGAAAAGCTTTTAAGGATTAGTTAATGTACATTTATTTTTTTACTCCATGGCTCATTCACTACTTTCACCGTTGCTGAGTTGAATAATTATTTTAGTATATCACCTGGTTTGGAACTATTTGCAAGCTACTTCGTTTCTCCATGTATACGTAGGTGTAGTCGGCAGGAATTGACTTCGTTCGTTTTGTGTATAGTCGGGTTTTCGTGTTCTTGCAGCATTTGTTAACAAGTCCTAACTTTTTTCGTACATTAGTATCATAATTATATTAGTTTTATTTTTCACATTGTATAAATTAGCGGGATTAGTTTTTCTACGGGAGCTCAGGGACGGCTTAAGTCAAGTGTAGTGTGTCGGTAACAGTAGTACGTTATTTTCTTTTGCTTTTCGTTTTACCGCTTCTCCTCTTTTCACAGAGAGAAAACAGAACGCGTAGGACGGAATCTCGGCAGGTGGAAATGCGAAATAAAGCAGAAGAGTTTCAATTTCCGGAGGTTGACAACCCCCATGCCAGAGCTTGGCAGAATAACGCGAAAAGAGTTTCTGGAAGCAAATTGTACTATTTGATCCTTGGCTGGAATTTTCGGAAAGCTTGATCGAATGGAAAGTGCCCGAATGTCGCCTGACTTAAACTCAAGAAATACTTAGCTGTCTTTGTTTCAAATATGGATTAATCCATATCAATGAATAAACTTAGAATCCACTTTTCTTTAATTATAAGATGACTGAAATTGCATTTACGACGTAAGCATATATAATTCCATGTTCCCGTCTCCCCCCGCCTCATCGACTCTCCAACTTAGGCCAGGAATATTTTCCGCCTCTGCTAATAAAAGTTTTCAATAGTCGTCGTCACATTGTTATCGAGGAGTAAACAAAAAACTCCCTATCAATGAAGTTCATCTAATAACAAATCCTCGTGCCGTATTTTATTTATTTATTTTTTGTGTGTGTGTGTAAAAGAGATTCTAGCTCTCGTAATTTATAGCTTCCGCATTAGAAGAATGATTTAGAATGCATATTTATGTTAGGCTTTTTGATTCATCTCATTCACAATTAAGATAAAAACCGCCGTCTACTTAGCTCATATTGCAGAGCGCCAAAATAAACTGCCCAGTGGAATATCGGGCGTTCAAGCTCCAAACTGTATAACAATCTGGCTCTTGGAAAAACTAAGGAAAATATGGTACCTTTGGTGCGACATCTGCAAATGTTTAGACAGTCTAGTGTTTTCGGATAAGGACGATAAACTGGAGGCCTTTATCTCCTTCATCGTTTCTTAAAGAACACGTGCACCTCTTGCGAAGATTAGGGAACAAAGCTCGTGTCGTTGTGGTCTTCCTAATTTTCCGAAATGGGCCGATTTTCGGTAGAATGCCCCCCCCCCCCCGAAAAAAAAAAAATTACAAACTTCATCAAGGTGGTTGGGTAAAGTCCCTTGCAAAGTGTTGTAAAGATACATATGGTCATGGATATGCCGCCACACAAAACGTCTCAATATTATTATCATGGAATTGTCCGTGGGCTAAACCCCCACTGGATGTGGTCAAAATACCACACTCAAACGTGCCTTGTTTTATCAAATTTATGCATTACTGCTCTATTTAATGGAGATATTGAAGAGAGATCATCACATTGGCGCTGCTGCTGTCGGAGAAGGAAGACTTCGGTGCAGACGTAATTTGCCGTACAAGACTTTCTGAAGCAAGCGAAAAGTAGGGAGTATTCTTCCATCGGATACTTTTGCCAGCGTTAGACTCAGGACCGAATTATCAATGCAAGCAACGGAGTAAATCATCCACCTCAATGAAAATATGTTTTCACGGCTCTATCGTCAATCAGTAGCTCTAAAGGCTCCATGCTGGAAAAGTTTTAAATCGTTGATTGAAAGCAAGAAAAACATAGTCAATGGCCTTAGTCGAGCGGGTTACAAACTAGATGAGCAGTGATCTTTTTGAGAGCAAATTCTGACTACGTTTATGATGATTGCAACCTGATCCAGTATCACGAGATGTTATAATTCTGTCGATAGCCCCTATTCATTTTTTCTCTTCCACTTCCTCTTTCCTCGAACACCTCAGACCGGAAAAAAACCTCTAGGTTATGTTTAACTGATCTTTATAACTTTATCGTTCTCTTTTCCTGCTATCCTTCCCCTCCATAACTGGGCGTTTGTGCAGAAAGTACCATGTACTTTAGTTACTATTTGAGAGCTTAAGCACCAGACGTTCTTGAGGTCACGAACGCCTACCGGAAGTCATTAGAGGAACTATGTACATACTGCGCATGTCATGACGTTCGCGTGGTCACGTCGCAGACGCCTGAACGCCACTTTTCAGGTTGAAGGTAGGACGCCACAAAAATATGCTGTTATTTTGTTTATAGGAGATAAATTATTGACTCAAAACCATAAAAAGCTCTTCTGCTTTTCATTAAGTGATTAAAAAACGTTTTCGTAGCGCGTAAAGTGGTTTTTGCTTAATCGATAGATTAAACGGGATTCGACAATGGCAGACAATCTTCTCGCCAAGTCTGGGTGAGTTAAGTCATTTGATTTCATGTCCATTTGAATCATCAAATGCAGAACTAAGATTTTTTTAAACCGGGTTTAAGCTTATCACAAATTACTTTGAGCGATAATTTAGAATTAAGACACTTAAGCGACATTTAGATACAATAACAAAGTGCAAAATGAGATAGATGATTGTCTTTCTGCATCGGTTGTATTTTGTAACTGCACATTGTATATCGTATGCATCTATGCTAGGTTTTGAGCAACCGACTACAAACATAAGAATAACAAATCTCGCTGTGGTTAACGAATTTAGAAAAAGAGAAATGGTCCTCTAGGCATCCAGATCATGCACTGAAAACTTCATGCTCGCTCGTTTGTTCGCATTGTTTACACAACTATGAAGTGGTAAATTTCAAGTCGCCTAATAAATNNGGAATCCTGTATATAAAAGAACGTAGTCCAAACGTATAGACTACAATTAGTGCAAACAAGTTTGGCCCAAATGTAAAGTTTCCAGTGAGTGTATACACATCTGGCCCAATGTAGAGTTTCCAGAGAGTGTTGTGCAACCAGTGCAGTCTGTTAATATATAATAGCAGGATAAAACAGTGTGTCTGCAGTAAAAATTAGAAGGCTAAATTTGCTAAATGTTGATTGTATGAGACAGAAGGCATTTCAATATTCATTTTTCTAATTGGCCCAAGCAAAGCTTAAAATCAAGAATAAGATAAAAGGCTTGACTTAACCTTAAAGTATTATAGTTTAATCAATGGCGAATGTGTTATAGCAAGGCTGGCTTCATTGCTTTAGCGTTGTTGTACTCGAATAAAGTTTTGTTCAGTAGACAGATTTGTTTGAGTGTGGTTTCTGAATGGTGATTTGACTTCGACGAGTGACGTTCTTATTGTAAGGTAGATCACAACTTAGCACATAACTGATTAATTTGTTTTATCTCCTCAAGACACAACAACCATAAATATTCTTTAATCCTTTGAGCGATATTGTCTCGGAAAAATGTGTTAGGGTCGATAGATTCAATGATGTCACTGCAGTAAACTACGACTGATAAGCAACCTAGGTATTATCACCCAGCTTAATAAAGATGAGACGAATTTGAACAGAACTTTAACTACGCGTATTTAGGATTTGAAGTAAAGAGCTTCATCTTGAATTTTTATTCCATCCCCTTTTCTCTTACGTAAATAAGTATCAATAAGATATTTGGCCCCCCTCTCTCCCCTCCATAAAAAAATCTACTTTCCAAAACCTTCTATGCGAAGCCACAGGAAGTTAAAAAGTGAACCACTTTCTGGCTTTAATTTTTAAAAATGGCACTTCTCTACTAACCGAAGCGGAGATTCTGAGCAATCTAACACCTCTCCCTCCCATCCAATAAAGACTTTTATTACACGACTCAGGCAGTCAGAGGGCCAATAACTAAAATCAACCAATCAAAATGCTCTATTGCCGGTCAATATTCTCTCAGTATTGGACCGGGCACTGTCCCGAATGTTCCCGAATGATACCACACTTGTGTCCCTTTGAACTTCAGTCGTATAATAAATCTCTTATTAACCAAGCTTGCTCGGGACCGTACTGGAAGAATATCGGCCCTCGGTCTTTTTTGTACGGACCTCGCTGCGCTCGGTCCGTACTGTCAAGACCTCGGGCCGATATTCTCCCAGTACGGCCCTCGCGCTTGGTTAATAAGATATATATACTTTTTACGATGCAGATGAGAAGAATGAAGCAGATGTTTGAACCCGCAAAGGCCATTGGTTTTAGTTTCGGAAAAACCTNCACGTCACATTTTAATACTTTTGTGTTAGAGCGAGCGCATTTGATCCAGTTAACTGTGAATGAAAAGCTCAAAATTAACGGGAAAAATGGACGAAATCTAAGCTAAATGAAGTCTTGTGTAACTCTAAAATCTTTTGATGCTCAACGATCGGACAATAGCCCATTTCCGAATTACCCTTGGCCTTATTTTCAAAACGAGTCCTGGCGCTCATCCTTTCATATGATTATAAGTTTTCATTCACATGCAAATTAAACTCATTTTCACAAAAATAGTTGAGCACCAGGCCTCGTTTTGAAAAAGAGGCCACGGGTGATTCGGAAATGGGCTATTGTACGAAACGTGCAACTTGCGGCCGTGTTTTTGCTGTTTCAGGTGGATTAAGACCCAAAAGGTGAAAATATACGCGGCATTACCAGGAGTGATCATGAGTCGAGTTTATCTCTTGGATTTTCGAGGGGTCTAAGTTTTCGGGGTCTGAGGTCTGAGGTCTGAGTTTTCGGGGTCTGAGTTTTCGTAACACCACAAAGAGACGAGCAAACTATATGATTTGAATGATATCTGTATGGTAAGATTTGCCAAGCTCTGATAATAGCTGTCGAAGTTTCATAGGATGAGTGGTAATTGTTTAGTGCTTAACGAGATGCTTGTTTCCATTACGTACGATCATGTTGATGTTGATGATTATGGCTGCGTTCCATTCGACTAAAGCTTCCAGTCCGAATTTCCATTTTGCGGGTCGAATGGAATGGTATTTTCGATCTAACCAAACTGATCTCGTTTCATTTCCACTCATGCTGATGTCACATGATTTTTTTCGTTTATAAACGAACAAAGCAATCCTCATATCTTCAAAGCCTTAGAACTGAATTCAGAAAATCATGTTGACAATGTTTTCAGGTTCTCAACAGCGCCAATGGACTGGAAAGTTTGCAGAGCCATATTTACTCGCACAAATGATGGGAGCGATTGGCAGGCTAATTCATTTTTCTATGCGTATGTCATTTAGTTTTCTCGTTCTTGCTGCATTTGTCAACCAGTCCTATATTTACTTCTTCTTTATTATCGTTATTGTGCCGGCTTTTATTTTACCTATTGTCAAACTTTTTTTTTTTCGGGAGTCCTGTGACAATTGAGGCCAAGTGTAGTGTGTCGGCCACAATTGTTTTAATTCTTTTTTCTTTGTTTTACAGCTCCTCTTATCTTCACATAACGTCACCCGGTAGAACTGCCAAATGGAGCAGAAGAGTTTTTAAATTTCTGGAGACTGACAACCTCTGGAGCTTGGGAGAATAAACCGAAAACAGTTTCCGGAAGCCCATTGTTTTATTTAATTTTTAACCGGAATGGAAATTGCCCGAATGTCGCCTGTGTTTTTTTTTTTTTTTTTTCAAATGCAGATAAATCTATTTTAATGACACCCCTTTCTCATGATGATAAGATCACTACAATTGAATCTACGACGTAAGCATATATATTTCCATGTTCCCCCCTACCCAAATGTTTTTCTAGATCTCAGCTTGTAATGGAAATTTTCAATCGTAGTTGCTAGATTGTTAAGGAGTAAAATAAAAACTCTCTATCGTGCATTTCGTCTAGTAGGAAAACTCATGTCGTATGACTGTGTACCTAGATTTGTTGCATAATTCCACCGGCTCTGTTATAAAACATTTTGTTTATGCTTTTAGCTGTGCACTGTCGAGTTATGGAACACTTGGGAAGTTTGGAGAGCACTTCGAGAGGTCTGAGTTTTCGGGGTCTGAGTTTTCGGGGTCTGAGTTTTCGTGGTCTGAGTTTTCGTAACACCCCAAAGAGACGAGCAAACTATAGGATTTTAATGATATCTGTATGGTAAGATTTTCCAAGCTTTGATAATAGCTGTCGAAGTTTCATGGAATGAGTGGTAATTGTTTAGTGCTTAACGAGATGCTTGTTTCCATTACGTACGATCATGTTGATGTTGATGATCATGGCTGCGTTCCATTCGACTAAAGCTTCCAATCCGAATTTCCAATATTCGGGTCGAATGGAATGGTATTTTCGATCTAACTAAACTGATCTCGTTTCATTTCCACTCATGCTGATATCACATGATTTTTTGCGTTTATAAACGAACAAAGCAATCCTCCTACCTTTAAAGCCTTAGAACTGAATTCTGGAAATCGAACATGTTAACGCTGTTTTCAGGTTCTCGACAGCGCCAATGAAATGGAAAGTTTGCAGAGCCATATTTACTCGCACAAATGATGGGAGCAAGTGGCAGGCTAGTTTATTTTTCTCTGCATACGTCATTTAGTTTTCTCGTTCTTGCTGCATTTGTGATCCAGTCCTATATTTAGTTCTTCTTTATTATCGTTATTGTGCCGGCTTTTATTTTACCTGTTGTCAAACCAATTTTTTTCGGGAGTCCTGTGACAATTAAGGCCAAGTGTAGTGTATCAGCCATAATTGGTTTAATTCTTTTTTCTTTGTTTTACAGCTCCTCTTATCTTCACAGAACGTCACCAGCTAGAATTGCAAAATGGAACAGAAGAGTTTTTAAATTTCTGGAGATTGACAACCTCTGGAGCTTGGGAGAATAAACCGAAAACAGTTTCCGGAAGCCCATTGTTCTATTTAATTTTTAATCGGAATGAAAATTGCCCGAATGTCGCCTGTGTTTTTTTTTCAAATGCAGATATATCTATTTTAATGACATAACTTAGACACCCTTTTCTCATGATGATAAGATCACTACAATTGCATCTACAACGTAAGCATATATATTTCCATGTTCCCCCCTCCACAAATTGTTTACTAGAGCTTGTAATGGAAATTTTCAATCGTAGTTGCTAGATTGTTAAGGAGTAAAATAAAAACTCTCTATCGTACATTTCGTCTAGTAAGAAAACTCATGTCGTATGACTGTGTATTTAGTGTAAAAGGGATTTTCACTTTCGTGCAAAATAAAGCGGCTAAAATAATTTTAGATCGACCGCTGTATTCATCTGCGTCGCATGCATTAGCGACTCTGAAGTGGATATCATTTGAGAAAAAGGGGTTCCAACGAAGATGTGTGCATGTAAACAAATGTCTAAATGGACTCATAAATCACGAACTGACTTTAGTAACACATCAAAATCTACATAATTATATCACTAGAATTAAAGTCAATCTTAGAGTTCCCTGTGTTAAAAGGAATTGGGGAAAACAAAGAACTGCTTATCACGCTTATCATTCTCTCAGCGAGATCATGACACGAGTCTCTGCCAATGTAAATATTTTTAAACGACAGGTTTACAATTTTTTAATTCAAGTGTTTTAAAAATTTCATACTCTTAGTCTTCCTAGATATATTAGTTATTAATCTTAATTTTCGAAGTCCTTTTCAAAAACCACATGTACGTGAAAAAAGTTTCCTCAATAAAGATTAATATTATTATGTGTTTTAAGTGTAAAAGGGATTCTAACTTTCGTGATGTCTAACTTGATTTCTATGATTCTAGCTTTCGCATAAGCTAAATGATTTAGAATGCATATTTACGTAAGTGTTCTCGATTCATCCCATTCACAATGAAGATAAAAACCGCTTTGTTTTTGGTTCATATCGAAGGGCGTCAAACTGCCAAGTGGGAGGTCGAGCGTTCAAGCCACTAATTGAATCAACAATCAGGGTCTTAAAAAAGACGAAGGAAAATATGGCGCCTTTGGTACCCGGCACATCTACAAAAGTTTAGAGATTGAAGTGTTTCCGGATATAAACAATAAACTGGAGCTCTTTGCCCCTGTATCTTGTCTGTACTAGTTAGCAAAGAACTTTAAAAAACACGCACACTTGTCGCAAAGATCAGGGAACAAAGCTCCTCTTGTTATCTTGGGGGTGACTGGGTTCAGTGCTTTTCAAAAGAATATTTAGAACAGAGAGCACCAGAGAATACACTAAGCTTGGAATATGCAACAAGTTAGCAAAACAGGCAGCTACGTAACCACCCGTCTGTCTACCCTGGCTGAACGTGCTGGTATTTCGCAATAATCTTAGGGATGACTGAGTTCAATGATTTTTCTATAAAATAAAAAAAAAACAACGAAAACGCCAACGGATATATTGAGCTTTGATTCTGCAATGTATCATGAGTGGGATAGCCATCTTAGACCGCTAGGAAACTACCCGCCTGTTGTTACTGAGTCAGCTGAAAGTGCTGGTATTTAGCAGTTATCTTAGAGGTTACTTGGTTCATAAATAATTTAAATATATCCACAAAGTTGAAATGGTAAATTGGCCACTGTTACGATTATGAAAACTGACGTTTCGAGCGTTAGCCCTTCGGAGCGTTAGCCCTTCGGAGCGTTAGCCCTTCGCTCCGACGAAGGGCTAACGCTCGAAACGTCAGCTTTTATAATCGTAACTGTGGCCAATTTACCATTTCAACTTTGTTGATATATTCAAATTATTTCGTTACCGCCACCGACGTAGCGTCAAACAGTTTCTTTAGAAACTATCAGCCTTTATTACTTGGTTCATAGATTGTTATTAAGGAGTAAAATAAAAACTCTCTATCATGCATTTCGTCTAGTAAAAAAACTCATGTAATATGTGTTTTTAGTGTAAAAGGGACTCTAACGTTCATGATGTCTAGCTTGATTTCTATGATTCTAACCGTTTCGCATAGCTAAATGGTTTAGAATGCATATTTACGTTAGTGTTCTCGATTCCCATTCACAACTGGGAAGTCGAGCGTTCAAGCCACTAATTGAATCAACTATCAGGGTCTTACAAAGACAAAGGAAAATATGGTGCTTTTGGTACCACATCTGCAAACGTTTAGAGAGTCAAGTGTTTTCGGATATAGAAAATAAACCAGAGCTCTTTGCTTCTGCATCTTGTCTGTACTGGTTACCAAAGAACCTTAAAAAAAAAACACGCGCACTTGTCGCAGAGATCAGGGAACAAAGCTCCTCTTGCTGTGGTCTAGCCTTCATCAAATTAGTCTGACAAAGTCGGCGACATTAAAGTGTTTTACAAATAGTCTGAGGTCGCGAATATGGCACTATAAAAAAACCTTTTTATCAATACTACAATCATTGAATTGTCAGTGGGCGTAAGGCCACTCCATGTGATTTTAGGAATTTTATTCATGAAACGCTATTTAGGGGAAGTATTGAAGAAAATTCATCCCATTAGCGCTTTTATCGTCAGAGAAGGAAGACCTCAGTAATTTAATTTGATGTAGAAGACATTCTGCAGCTGGTTAAAGGTAAGTAGAATTGTTCTATTGGATACTTTTGCCATCGTTATCCTCGATCGGGACCGAATTATTTAACAACTCAGCAAATCATCCACCTTAATGAAGCCACGTATTCACGATATTAGCATCAATCAGTAGCTCTGATAGGCTGATTGAAAACAAGAAAACATAGCCAAGAACGTAAGTCGAGCCAATTACAAACTAGACCATGTCACATGGAGAAATTGAACACTCTGTGGTTAGATTGTGGGAAACTTTCTAGTAAGCAAAACTCAGAGCCATTCCACGCCATAAACCGAGGCAACTGAAACATGCCTTCTACTGTGTTACGTTCAGCTTTGTCATCGGAGTGCTTTATGGATTAAAAGAAAAAAAAAGAAAAATACATCACGATTTGAAATTTCGGAATCAAAATTAGCGACAAAAAAGCACGACGCCTCGATCTCTCCAAGGTCATTTTCAAGTGAGCATAAGTTTTCTAAATTAGCACAAAAATGAAGAAAATTTGCATGATATGGAGCCAGACGACATCGCTCAAAGTTTTAGAACCTTAAAAAAGTGTCAGAACAGATCTGACCGTCTTATTTCTGATATTTTTTCTTTTTCTTTATCAAAGAGCTCAAAATAACACTAAACAAACAGTGCGACTCACTTCGCGCCAAGTCATTTGTTTAGGGTAGCTCTTGATATTATCATTTCATTGTTTTTACCTTGTAGATATGTTTAGCACTTTCTTGCATATTTTATCACATTTTAGAGTTTGCCACACTTTTACCCATTTCAACTTTTTCTACATTTTTGTCGATAGCCCCCATTGATTTATCCTTTTCTACTTTCTCTTTCCACAAACACCTCAGACCCGAAAAAAAAAAAAAAAAAAAAAAAAAAAAAAAGCCCATAAGCTATTTATAACTTTTATTACTTCATTGTTATCATCCCCACTTCCCCTCCTCTCCAGAACTGGGGGTTGCGCAGAAAGCCGATTATACTTTAGCTACGATTATCAATCACCAACAATTCAAGATGAATGAATAAATAGCCTTTGGTACGTTCTTTGACCTAAACCTTTATATTGTGATCAAAAAGTTTTTATTTGACGACCACAGATATGAAAGGTTGTTTCTTTGCTATGTGTCTGCTGGCCATTTGCGTCATTTTGGCGGAGTCTGCGCCGGCGCAACATGATGATTGGGATCCGGAGTTATTCCAGAGGGAAGCTAGGTGCCTACCACCTGGGGGTGAATGTAACCGTTCCAGTGATTGCTGTGGAAGTACTGCAGTCTGTTCATTTGATGGCCATAAAAAGCAGTGTGCTTGCTACAGACGCGTGCAACTTGGAGATTGCGTTTAATTGGCTAAGACAGAGGGCGTTTCATCATTACTTTTTGTAATTTACCTGGGCAAAGTTACCTGAAATCGAAAATAAAACAACTTTGTCTTAAATATTATTGTAGTTTCATTGATGGCAAATGCTTTTATAGCAGAGTTGTTTCATTGTTTTAGCACTGTTGTATACAAATAAAATTTGGCTTAGCTGCTTCTGTTTGAGTGTGGTTTCGGAAAAAAAATTTCATTTCGATCACCGACGGTATCTCAGGATTGACCTAGGTCTGTCTGTTTCTCTAGGATAGTTATCAGAGAAAACACCAGAGAATATATTGAGCAGTTGGATTCTGCAACAAATTAGCGGGATAGGCATCTTAGGCAGCTAAATAACTTCGTACCCGTCTGTCCACATTGACTGACCGTGCTGGTATTTCGCAGTTCTTTTAGGGGTGACTGGGTTCATTGCTTTTCAAAAGAATATTTAACAAAGAGAACACCAGAGAATACATTGAGCTTGGAATATGCAACAAATTAACAAAACAGGCAGCTACGTAACCACCCGTCTGTCTACACTGGCTGAACGTGCTAGTATTTCGCAATAATCTTAGGGATGACTGAGTTCAGTGATTTTTCTTCGGAAAAAACAAAACAAAACAAAACAAAACGCTAACGGATATATTGAGCTTTGTTTCTGCAATGTATCATCAGTGGGATAGGCATCTTAGACCGCTAGGAAACTACCCGCCTGTTATTACTAAGTCAGCTGAAAGTGCTGGTATTTAGCAGTTATTTCAGAGGTTACTTGGTTCATCGATTATTATTAAGGAGTAAAATAAAAACTCGCTATCATGCGTCTCGTCTAGTAAGAAAACTCATGTCGTATGTGTTTTAAGTGTAAAGGGATTCTAACTTTCGTGATGTCTAGCTTGATTTCTATGATTCTAGCCGTTTCGCATAAGCTAAATGGTTTAGAACGCATATTTACGTTAGTGTTCTCGATTCATCCCATTCACAATAGGCAATTGTACAGTTGTGTACTTAGTTGCCAAGCCTTTGATTCACCTTTGGCCGGTTATTGGCAAATATCTCCTTCAAAACAATTAAAGATTTCATCAAATTAGTCTGGCAAAGTCGCTTACAAAGTGTTGTAATATATTAATTTAGCTAAGCCTAAGAGCGGAGCTTGCAATAAGTGAAAATTTTGCAATAAAATTTCTTTACATATATTAAACATTTTTGCTTTGTAATAATTATATAAATCAAAAATGTCGCCGTTAATTCACGGCTAAATTCGTCGCGAGATCATTGCAAGACATAATTTATTTCGCCGTTAATTCACGGCTAAATCGAGTGTCACATAGATTTGAACCAAAAATTTCGCCGTTAGTTCACAGCTAAATCATCGAGTGTCATATATGTTTCAAAGCAAACATTTTGCCGCTAATTCACGGCTAAATCGGCTAGGTCTTTGAAGCTCTGCACGTCTTTCAAAGGTTTATCTAACATATATTGCGTAGTAGACTTGTCGCGTGTATGGGTTATACGCATGGATTCACACTTGTCCACATTGAAACGTAGCTATGTACCACTTGCGTGCCCGCCTATTCCATTAGGTTTACAAAGATTCATTTGTAAAAGCTGAGGATCCTTCGGTAGGGTCCACTATTTGACGATAGATCTTTGTGTTGTCAGCGTAAAGTTTCACAGTTGACGAAATACAGTGGTTATATCGCTGATATAGATCAAAACCGCCTCCCAGTTAGCTCAATGGATAGAGCGCTGGAGTGTTGTGCGGGAGGGTCGAGGATTCGAGCCCCGGCCGGACCAACACTCAAGGTCTTAAAACAAGTGAGAAGAATATGCTTCTTTTCTGTAACGTCAAGAAATAGTTAGATACTCTAGTCTTCTCGGATAGGGACTAATAAATGGAAGTCCCGTCTCCTTCAAGGTTAGGGGTAGGAGACGTTAATTTCCCACGCACAAGATTACTGTGTGAGGGATGTCCTCCTCTGGGGTGGTTGCTGGGTGGGAATGGACCCTGAAAAGCCCCGATGGGGAGTGGTCAATTAACATATGTATGTATGTATGTATCAGAATTAATAGTGGGTTGAGAAGGGTCTCTTGTGGAGTACGTGAGATAACACTATACCAATCAGACTTAGGTCCCCACAGAATCACGCGCTGCCTACGTCTTGTGCGTCTGGTGACCATTTGTGTCATTTTGGCGGAGTCAGATGACTGGGATCAGGAGTTAATCCAGAGAGAAGCTGAATGACAACTACATGGTGGCAGATGTGAAGATTCACGTGATTACTGTGGAGTAAGTGCCATCTGTTCATCTCAAGGTGGGATAAAGACTTGTGTCTGCTACGAAAAAATAGAAGGCAGAAAATGCTAAACGCTGATTGGCTAAGACAGAGGGCATTTCATCATTATCTTTTGTAATTGCCCCGAGCAAAGTTATTTGAAATCGAAAATAAAACAACTTTGTTTAAAATTATTGTAGTTTCATTGATGGAAAATGCTTTTTTAGCAGAGCTAGTTTCCTTGTTTTAGCGCTGTTTTACACAAATGAAAGTTGGCTTAGCTGCATCTGTTGAGTGGGGTTTCTGAATAAAGATTTCATTTCGATAACCTATCGTATCTCAGGGTTGACTTGGTTCTGTGACTTTCTCTAAGATAGTTAACAGAGAAAACATCAGATAATATATTGAGCAGCTGGATTCTGCAACAAATTAGCGGGATAGGCTTTTTAGGAAGCCAAACAACTACGTACCCGTCTGTCCACTTTGACTGAACGTGCTGGTATTTCGCGGTTATCTTAGGAGTGACTGGGTTCAGTGCTTTTCAAAAGAATATTCAACGAAGAAAACGCCAGAGAATACATTGAGCTTTGATTATGCAACATATTAGCAAAACAGACAGCTACGTAACTACCCGTCAGTCTACACTGGCTGAACGTGCTGGTATTTTGCAATAATCTTAGGGATGACTGAGTTCAGTGATTATTCTTCAAAATAAAAACCAATGAAAACGCCAACGGATATATTGAGCTTTCATTATGCAACGTTTAAGCGCCGGATAGGCATTTTAGACCGCTAGGAAACTACCCGCCTGTTATTAGCTCCATCAGCTGAAAGTGATTGTATTTCGCAATTATCTTAGAGGTTATTGGGTTCATTGATTTCCATCGGAGTGTTTAACAGAGAAAACACGAGAGAATACATTGAGCTTGGATTATACACTAAATTAGTGGGTAGGCAGCTAGTCAAGCACCCGTCTGTCGGCATTGGCTGAACGTGCTGGTATTCTGCAGCAATCGTAGTGGGTGACTGGGTTTAACGATGAGTCTCCTTTAAAATGGTAATACTAAAACAAATTGAAAACCAGAGGATAAATTGAGCTAAAATTACGCAAAAAAAATTACCACTAACGCAATTACTCGTCTGTTTACACCGGCCGAATGTGCATATTAATGTATAATTTTCCACTGAATGTCTTATCTTGTCTATTCAATTATTCATTTGTTGGGTTTAAATACTCAGTTGGCCCAACGTTCCGTAGTTCGTGTTTATTCTGAGAGATTTCATAACCTTGGCCAAATTAAGTATGGGTATGCCTACGAGGTTTTTCCGAAATTAAAACCAATGGCCCTTGCGGGTTCAAACATGTGCTTCATTCCTTCTCATCTGCATCGAAAAAAGGATATACATCTTATTAACCAAGTCCGAGGGCGGCACTGGGAGAATATCGGTCCGAGGTCTTGACAATACGGACCTCGCTGCGCTGGGTCCCTACAAAAAAGACCGAGGGCCGATATTCTTCCATTACGGTCCCGAGCAAGCTTGGTTAAAGTGCACCTAAACCCAAAAATTTTTTTTCGCTCAACGAAATAAGCGTATTTTTTGGAGTATTTCTGTGCAAATTTTTTTTATTTGCTCAAATCTTCAATTGTCTGTGCCCAGTCAAAATACGGAAAATCGGCCGCCATCTTGCCCCACGGCCGAGTTTAAAGAGGAATGGCTCTAGCGGGTAATGTGACGTCAAATCGAGAACACGAAAGTCTGCATTTCACACATTTTCGCTTGTTTNTGCCGACTAAGTGTGTTATAGGAGGATGTAGCAACGTGCGAAATTTGCAAGAGGGTATCACGCTTCATACATTCCTCATACAATACACCTGGTCGGCATATTTCGGACAATATCGACCACAACCTTCCCAAACAAGTGAAAATGTGTGAAAAGCAGACTTTCGTGTTCTCGATTTGACGTCACATTATCCGCTAGAGCCATTCCTCTTTAAACTCGGTCGTGGGGCAAGATGGCGGCCGATTTTCCGCATTTTGACTAGGCACAGAAAATTTAAGATTTAAGCAAATTGAAAAATTTTTGCACAGAAATACTCCAAAAAATAAGCTTATTTCGTTAAGCGAAAAAAATTTTTGGGTTTAGGGGCACTTTAATAAGAGATTTATTATACGACTGAAGTTCAAAGGAACACAAGTGTGGTATCATTCGAGACCATTCCGGACAGTGCCCGGTCCAATACTGAGAGAATATTGACCGGCAATAGAGCATTTTGATTGGTTGATTTTAGTTATTGGCCCTCTGACTGCTCGAGTCGTGTAATAAACTCCACTATAGTACGCATAGCGAGTGGATATCAGAGTTCTTTCAATTTTAATTCTGCAAATCGTCTTCTAGAGGGAAGAGATTAAGAAGGTCGATGATTTGGTTTGACGCATAACTAAGGATGAGAAGTTCATTAGACTGTGACCTTAATGAGCTTGATTTTAGAATGGGTTCTAATTTCAAAGTTCCATTTCAAATAAGGAATTTTGCACAGGACTTTTCTTGTTTTTGAAAATAACTCAGCATTGAAATTATTGTTTTGTTTCATACAAACAGAAAAACTCACGTTTATTCAATTTGACAGCTGCAAATTTTTTTTCATTGTCCCGCACACACTCTCTAATAGTCTTTTGCACAAGAGACAACAGTTGTCTGGCATACAGCTACTTTGGCTCAAAAGAGCTCCTATAATAGTAATAATAATAATAACAATAATAATAACAAATAATATTTAAAGAAGATACTCCCATCACATTGAGTGGTTTTCAGGGAGGTCCTCTGACTATAAATATATTGTATTAGATAAAAAAAAATGTGTATATGTAGATGTAAAAAAGCATATAAAAGCACTAAGATTAAA